TGGGCTACCACTACAAAAGTTATTTTTCCTCCCTTGGTATCCTACTGTTAATTGAATTGTCTCGTTAAACTGACCTCACACCCGGTAAGGTTACTCCCATCTGTATTTATACCTGCTCCTGTATTTTCCACTCCATGCATCTGATGAAGTGGGTTCTAGCCCACGAAAGCTTATGCACAAATAAATGTGTTAGTCTCTATAGTGCCACAAGGACTCCTCATTGTTTTTGCTGATACAGACTAACATCTCTGAAACCTCCCCTCTCTCATCATTTATGATCCTGCTGAGACGATGACCTTTGGTAACAGCAGCAGAAAGGTGCAGGTGGTCAGCTTGGGGTACAAAGGATAACAAAAAGCAGCAGTTTATTGAGCTGCAGAGGGGAGCCTCTGGGGTCAGAGTCTCCTTTTTTATTGCACATCATTGAACTATTATCTGACAGACAGGCCCTGAGTCAGGGTAACAGCGACGCTGAGCCTGTGTGCCCCAGAACACACTGAGAGGGAATGATCATTAAACACTCTGCTGCCTGTGGAGACAGAGCTCAGAGGATCTGAGACGCTTCAAGTGCGGCTCTGGAGGGATTTCCAGTGTAAGGTGCATAATTCCCTGCTCTGCTACAGACTCCCTGTGTGGACTTAGGCAAGTCACTTAGGCCCAGAATTTCCAAGGTGTTTTGATGTCTAAAGATGCAGGTAGGTGCCTAGTGGAATTTTCAAAGGTGCCAATGGGAGTTAGGCACCTGGGTGCTTTTGAAAATCCCACTTGATGCCTAACTTCATCTTTAGGTGACTACAGACCTTCCAAAATTTGTCCCTTAATCTCTGTGCCCGATTTGCAAAGCTATTTAGGCTCCTAAAGATGCAGACAGGAGCCTAGTGGGACTTTCAAAAGTGCCTGTGTGAGTCAGGTGCCTGACTCCCATGAATGCCCTTTAGCTCCTGCCCCTTCTGTACTCGTCCCGTGTACGTTCCATCGAAGGCGCTTCCTGGCAGGAATGTCCATGCGAACAAGGGATTTCTACTAAATGTTATAAAATATTCCTGGGAAGCAACGTCTGACCATTTAGGCCCTGACCCAACAAGGTCCTTAAGTATGTGTATAACTTTCAGCATGCAGGCAACCCTATCAAACACTTAATCACAAATATTTGCACCAAAAACCTGTTTCTAAGAGTTAAATTCAGCCAATCAAGAAACAGAAACAATCCCATGTGACCTGGGTGTCCAATCATAACTAACCCCTGAAAGATCAATGTATTTGACAAATGTATTTAGCAAATATTTTCGAACAACAAATAAATCTGAGAAAATTGTGATCAGTTTGTGGGCAGCTGACAAACAAGAACAGAAGCTGAGCTCACTGGACACATCACATGCTGCACATTAGTCCCCCAGCTCTACTTTCAGCCCTTCTTTCCTCTCTCTGCCGTCCGCCCCCGCAACCCTGGGTCTCAGTCCCTTGCCTTTTATTTATGCCTTTGCTCTGCCTGAAGAATTGCTGGTGTTACTATTATTCCACGTTATTTCTGTAGCCCCCTCAGTGCCCTGGGCATGTTGCATGGTGCCTGCCCTGGGCGCTCCCAAGCGGGGCTGGGCTCAGGGGCTCACTAATGGGTGTATGGAAGGAGAAATCTGCAGGCCCTGGGCAATAGGTCAGGGTGGGCGTCCCAGGCATGGAGGCAGGTGCAAAGATGGAAGGACATGGGGAGGGGCCCCTTAGTCTCTGGGCCAGATTTGCACAGTTATTTATGCTCCTAAAAATGCAGACAGGAGACTAGTGGGATGTTCACATCTGCCTTGTAAGCTGATTGATATTTTTTAAAATAATGTAAAAGTCGACTGGAAACTGTAAGCGTTTAACAGTTTCCCTCTATTCCACAATATCACTATTGTAAGAAAAATGTATTTAACTAAGAATATCAACTTGATTAATACGACAACAACCCAGCACTCTTGGATCAATAACCCTCAAAAGCAAATACTTTCTAAAATTAAAACAAAATGTAGCCCCTTCTTTTGCAATGTTCTTCAGGGGACAGCAAACACTTTTGTCATTGTTCAGTGGGGGATAGGGCTGCCCCTTGCCCAGACTGGGGCAGGAGTGGTGACAGCGGGGGGCAGAGGGGAGGCAGGATGTCATGACACTCACCCAAGTCCCAGATGCTCCGGTCCAGGAAGCCCCCTCAACTCCCTTGTGGTGGGTGCAGGGGGTGGGGGGCTTCCATCACATGTGCACCTCCTCCCCTGCAGCTGCCCCTCACTGTAGCATCACGGGGGTGGGGAATGGCGCCACCCCTCGCCAAGCATGGGGCAGGAGAGGTGACTGCAGGCAGGGGCCTGAGTCCGACACTGACCCGAGCCCTAGCTGCCCAGGTACAGACTCCAGAAAGCCCTCTTGGAGTTGGAGTCATCTCCCGGTGGGTGCCGGGGGGGACACAATCACATGTGCACCTCCTCCCCTCTTCCCTCTGCAGGTGCAACAGCCACCTCAGCCTGCTGCCGGCACCGGTCCCTTCACGGTAGCCAGCAGCATAAGCGGCAGGTGAGGGAGCGCAGCGCAGAGAGGCTGGTGGGGCAGGAGGCGCTCCAGGGGAGGCCTACAGGGGTGGCAGGTGGACCCAGGCCCCCTGCCCTCAATATTGCTGGAGCATGGGCTCCATGGCCCCATATAACTCGCCGCCCCCGCACAGTGTATTTATGCAAGTTTTCAGTTGCAGAAATTTGGCCTGTATTTCTTTGCTTCTGAAAAACACCAAAAGTTAGATTCTGACTGTGTGGAGACATCAACGATTATAGAATCCACATTATAACATTTACTTTGCTTACTATATATGGGATTATAATAAAAATGTCACAGGAAAGATCCAAATGATAACTTTAGCCTGTGTTCTTGCACATAGGTTGCTAAACCCTGGAACTTGCTGAGAGCAGTTTTAATTGGGCTATAACCAGTCCCACAGAAGCGATACCAGTATGAACTGACAACTACAGATGATTTTTCAAAACAGGTAGAAGAATTTCCACTTAGAACTCTGACAGCACATGAGGTGGAGAAGACGACATGTAAAATGATATACCAACATGGCTCTCCAGAGGAGATACTGTCAGATCTAGGTTCTGAATTGAATAATGAGGTAACAGTTTACATTTGGTGTCATTTTCACTATATGGTCAATTACACAATCATGGCCGTGTGACAGGAGCTGTTAGCAGCTACAAACTCAGCCCATTGGAAGCCAGCACCCTGGTCACTGAGAACACCCAGGACACCAGGTGCAGGGCCAGTGCTACCATTAAGGCGAACTAGGCGGTTGCCTAGGGCGCCAAGCTTTGGGGGCTCCAAAAAGCGGTGCCCCCAATTTCCCTCTCGCGGCAGCTCCCCAACCCCCCGGCCCGGGGAGCCGTGCGGCAGCTTCCCACCCCAGCTGTTTGGCGCTGCAAGCCTGGCAGGGGAGGAGAATTAGAGCGGGGGCGGCGTGCTCGGGGAGGAGGCGGAGCAGAGGTGAGCTGGGGTGGGGAGCTGCCGCACGGCTCCCTAGGCTGGGGTGAGGAGCTGCTGCAGGGCTGGGGGGGGCACAAGGTGGAAATTTCGCCTAGGGCGTTGTTATACCAATAGAATAAAAACCAGCAGGATCTTATTAAGAGGGATAAGGCAAAGATGCCACATTTATTGTAAATATAATGGTAAAGCAAATGATAAAAGTAAACAACGTTGTTTGACTACTTATTCCTATCACTACTTATTCCTTATACACACATACATATATATATATTCATTCACACAATCATTCATTCAAGTTCTGTATAGGTGTTATAGTTACCAGCCTAGAAGTTGCTCATGCCAAGTTACTGGCCAGGTATCTTGGTCATGAGGATGGAGCCGAGTCTGTGTCAGGTGCACCTGATGCTCCTGGAGGCTGGCAGCAGAACCAGAGACTCAAAATCCTCAGTCTTGAGAGTCCATTCTTATAGGAATTGATTCCTATGTTAGTCTATGGGAGCTGTTTCATCCTGCTGTTGCTGACTCAATCAGCGGATGGCACATTCCTGCGCACATTCCTGGTGGCTCCACACTGTCCAAAATTTGTGTTTCTCATCCTTCCAGATGATGGAGTGGATCCCAGTTTACCCTCAGGGGGTTGTCTGGTGGTCCACTTTACACATTCTTCGGCCGATGGATACTCCCTTTCTAGGCTGGCACCTCCCTAACCATTCATGTACATCAAGCATTCATCAACATACATTCCATATCTTAACCATATTTTAATTTACTGTCTCCACCACTTTCGGGGTGTGTGCCAATTCATTTGAGACTCCCGGCCCTTTAATCACAGAGGGTGGGGGTCTGTTCTTAGGAGCCCTTGCTGTTACAATGAAGTGAAAGTCACTTAACGGTTTATAGCGTTTGTTTACATTGTATCAATTACTTCAAGAACAAAGTCAATTAACTTGTTTGTAAATTTTACATAATGATAAAGTATCTTTCACAGGACAGATATAATCAATGGTTTCTACAGACAGTAGCTTACAAGTTTTAACAGAAGACCCAAGAGATTTTTGTACTTAGTGAAACTGTTGGATTTTAAAGTGTGGGGGACAAATTATTGGGGGGTCACTGTCACTTGGGGGAATCACTGTTAGTACCTTCTTTAATATCCCTACAGCATGAAAATTCCTTGCACCGGCCCTGCCTGGGTGCAGTTAGAGTAGGAGGGACTGAATGGTTTCGAAGGGCAGAGGGGATCACTTGTACCTGTAGGGAGCCCTGATGAGGTCACTAGCTCAGCGCTGAGAAGAAAGCAGCAGTATAAAAGTCTGAACCAGGGAGCAGGAAGGGGGCTCCTCGTAACTGCACCATAAAAAGTCATAAAGACACTTGGTGGAGGTTCCCTGGCAGACTGCCTGCTGCTTCATTCACAAAGAGATCTGCCAGCCAGGGGTTGCAGGAACTGATAGGGGAGCCCATTCATAGTTAGAAATTTAAAAAATGAACATTACCTGCAATCTCTTCATGACACTTCATGCTGCAAATTGCGAGTGACAACACATTTTTATATCTTGTCAGATAGTAAACTGCACAGTGGACTGCACTCTCAGCAAGTTTTCAGATGACACTAAACTGGGAGGAGTGGTAGATACGCTGGAGGGTAGGGATAGGATACATAGGGACCTAGACAAATTAGAGGATTGGGCCAAAAGAAACCTGATGAGGTTCAACAAGGACAAGTGCAGAGTCCTGCACTTAGGCCTGGTCTACACTAGGAGTTTATATCGAATTTAGCACCGTTACATCGAATTAACTCTGCACCCGTCCACACCACGAAGCTATTTAGTTCGACATAGAGGTCTCTTAAATTCGACTTCTGTACTCCTCCCCAACGAGGGGAGTAGCGCTAAATTCGACATGGCCATGTCAAATTAGGCTAGGTGTGGATGGAAATCGACGGTAATAGCTCCGGGAGCTATCCCACAGTGCACCACTCTGTTGACGCTCTGGACAGCAGTCCGAGCTCGGATGCTCTGACCAGCCACACAGGAAAAGCCCTGGGAAAATTTGAATTCCTTTTCCTGTCTGGGCAGTTTGAATCTCATTTCCTGTTTGGACATCGTGGCGAGCTCAGCAGCACTGGCAACGTGAAAGGAGGCCAGTGCTATTATTAAAGTTTTAAGCAGCCACAAGTCTACGGTTTACCATGTCAGCCTGTTACCCAAATTCCACTGTCCTGTCCCGCTTGTCTGATCTGCACTGCAAGACCCCAGGCACTGAATGCGAAGGCCAAAAATTCGACCTTGTCCTGAGTGCGCATGTGATAGGTGCTGTGCATGGTCTTGTTCACAGAGAAAGACTATGTTCTTTGTTCACAACTACATTTATCTTTCTGAGGAATTCACTCCCTTTTTCCCATCCCACAGCTGTGACTGTCTCCCGACCTACCCTGGCATCACACTCCCAGAGGCTAGCGCAGATTAGGCGTAGGAAGAAGAGGACATGGGACGACATGTTCTCGGAACTTATGGGCTGCTCCCGAGCCCATGCAGCCCAGCAGACCCAGTGGAGGGAGAACTTGCCCCAAATGCACCGATCACACATGGAACGGGAGGAGAGGTGGTGGCAGGAAGACCAGCAGGCGACTCAAACGTTGCTTGGACTAATGAGGGAGCAAACGGACATGCTCCAGCGCCTTGTGGATGTTCTGCAGGACCGGAGGCAGGAGGACAGAGCCCCGCTGCAGTCTATCTCTAACCGCCCTCCCCCGCCACAAAGTCCCATACCCCCCTCACCCAAAGTCCAAAGAAGGAGGGGCGGCAGAGTCTGTGAAAACTCTCACTCCACCCCTGCAGACTGCTCAAGTACCAGAAGGCTCTCATTCCCCAAAATTTGATAAGTCCTTTCCTTCCCGCCTCACCCAAGCCCCCATCCCAGTTTCATCCCACAGTTTCATGTGTGGTTGCTAATAAAAAATACGTTTCTGTTAATTACTGTTTTCATCATGTTCTTTTAGAGGAGAGTCTGTTTGAAGGGGGGGAAGGGGGTTGGTAATTGGACAGGATAGTCACCTTTACCAGGGTACAGACGTGGGGGCAGGTTCAGCAGCAGGGCACACACACATTGCGGTCACTAGTTACCCTGGTCAGTCTGGGAGGTGGTTTTCATGTTCTGTGTGTGGGGGGGCTATGTGACTTTATGGCGGGGGAGGGCGGTTAGAGATCTTATGCAGCGGTCCTTATCCTGGATCACAGAGCCACGCAGCAGGGGATCTGTAACCGTCCTCCCCCTGCCACAAAGTCACATAGCCCCCACACACAGAGTCCCGAACAGGAGGGGTGGCAGGCTCCATTGAAACAACCAGTCCACCAGTGCAGAGCCTGTCATTCCAGGAGTTTAGAAGCGTCCTTTGCATCACTACACTACACCCGCTCCCCACCACAGTCTGCGTCCCAAGTTCAACACTTTACCGCGAAAACAGTAATAAAGAAAACGGTGTTCATTAACAAATTTCAAGTGATTTTATTTTTAAATGTGTGTTGGAAGGGGGAGAACGGGGGGAACGGGGTATGTAACTGGAGAGGATAGTGAACATTTACTGGGTAAAGAAACGGGGGCAGGTTCAGCTTCTCTGTAAATAAACTTAATAGTCACAGGTCACCCTGCTCACTCAGGAACCTAGCTTTCAAAGCCTTCCGGATCCACAGCGCGTCCCGCTGGGCTCTTCTAATCCCCCGGCTGTCTGGCTGGGCGTAATCAGCAGCCAGGCTATTTGCCTCAACCTCCCACCCCGCCATAAAGGTCTCCCCCTTGCTCTCACACAGATTGTGGAGCACACAGCAAGCTGCAATAACAATGGGGATATTGGTTTCGCTGAGATCAGAGCGAGTCAGTAAGCTTCTCCATCTCCCCTTGAGACGTCCAAAAGCACACTCCACCACCATTCTGCACTTGCTCAGCCGGTAGTTGAAGAGTTCTTTTTCAGTGTCCAGGGCGCCAGTATAGGGCTTCATGAGCCAGGGCATTAGCGGGTAGGCTGGGTCCCCGAGGATCACTATAGGCATCTCCACATCCCCAACAGTTATTTTGTGGTCCGGGAAGTAAATACCTTCCTGCAGCCGTCTAAACAGACCAGAGTTCCTGAAAACACGAGCGTCATGAACCTTGCCCGGCCATCCGACGTTGATGTTGGTAAAACGTCCCCTATGGTCCACCAGTGCTTGCAGCACCATTGAAAAGTAGCCCTTTCGGTTAATGTACTGGCTGGCCTGGTGGTCCGGTCCCAGGATAGGGATGTGAGTTCCATCTATAGCCCCACCGCAGTTTGGGAATCCCATCGCGGCGAAGCCATCTATGATGACCTCCACGTTTCCCAGGGTCACTACCTTTGAGAGCAGTAGCTCAATGATTGCGTTGGCTACTTGCATCACAACAACCCCCACGGTAGATTTGCCCACGCCAAAGTGGTTCGCGACTGACCGGTAGCTGTCCAGCGTTGCAAGCTTCCAGAGGGCTATGGCCACTCACTTCTGGACACTCAGGGCTGCTCGCATCCGGGTGTCCTTGTGCTTCAGGGCAGGGGACAGCAACTCACAAAGTTGGAGGAAAGTCCCCTTCCGCATGCGAAAGTTTCGCAGCCACTGGGATTCATCCCAGACCTGCAGCACTATGCGGTCCCACCAGTCCGTGCTTGTTTCCCGGGCCCAGAATCGCCGTTCCACAACATCAACATGACCCATTGCCACCATGATGTCCTCGGCGCGGGGTCCCGTGCTTTGTGACAGGTCTGTGCCACTCTCAGACTTCAGGTCCTCACCGTGCTGCCGTAGCCTCCTCGCCTGATTTCTCAGCATCTGCCTCTGGGAAAGGTGGATGATAAGGTGCGAGGTGTTGACAACGGCCATAACTGCAGCGATGGTCGCAGCGGGCTCCATGCTCGCAGTGCTGTGGCGTCCGCACTGTCACTGACCAGAAAAGTGCGCGAACTGATTTCCCGCCGGCGCTTTCAGGAAGGGAGGGCGGGAGTGACGAACTGATGACGACAGTTACCCAAAAGCACCCGCGACACATTTTTTTCCCCAGAAGGCATTGGGGGCTCAACCCAGAATTCCAATGGGCAGCGGGGACTGCGGGATCTGTGGGATAGCTGCCCACAGTGCACCGCTTCCAATGTCGATGCTTGCCCCGTTAGTGTGGACTCACAAAGTCGAATTACTGTCCTTAGTGTGGACACACACGTTCGACTTTGTAATATCGATTCCACATATTCGATTTAAGTAAAATCGAACTACTCTCGTAGTGTAGGCATACCCTTAGGACAGAAGAATCCCATGCACTGCTACAGACTAGGGACTGAATGGCTAGGCAGCAGTTCTGCAGAAAAGGACCTAGGGGTTACAGTGGATGAGAAGCTGGATATGAGTCAACAGTGTGCCCTTGTTGCCAAGAAGGCTAACGACATTTTGGGCTGTATAAGTAGGGGCATTGCCAGCAGATCAAGGGATGTGATCATTCCCCTTTATTCGACATTGGTGAGGCCTCATCTGGAGTACTGTGTCCAGTTTTGGGCCCCACACTACAAGAAGGATGTGGAAAAATTGGAAAGAGTCCAGCAGAGAGCAACAAAAATGATTAGGGGGCTGGAGCACATGACTTATGAGGAGAGGCTGAGGAAACTGGGATTGTTTAGTCTGCAGAAGAGAAGAATGAGGGGAGATTTGATAGCTGCTTTCAGCTACCTGAAAGGGGGTTCCAAAGAGGATGGATCTAGACTGTTCTCAGTGGTACCAGATGACAGAACAAGGAGCAATGGTCTCAAGTTGCAGTGGCGGTAGTTTAGGTTGGATATTAGGAAAAACTTTTTCACTAGGAGGATGGTGAAGCACTGGAATGGGTTACCTAGGGAGGTGGTGGAATCTCCTTCCTTAGAGGTTTTTAAGGTCAGGCTTGACAAAGCCCTGGCTGGGATGATTTAGTTGGGGATTGGTCCTGCTTTGAGCAGGGGGTTGGACTAGATGACCTCCTGAGGTCCCTTCCAACCCTGATATTCTATGATTCTACGATTCTAAAAACCATGTTGTATATTAACCTATTTGCCAACATATTTTCCCATGTAATAACACAAAAAGATTGGATAAGAAACCACAGTAATTACACATAATTCAGTGAGAAATAGGGAAAGGAACGCAGATATTTCTGAAGGAAATTTTAAGGGAAAATTATCAATTTTTAAATTAAAATGTCCCTGAGTTAAAAACTAGGAAAAACACATAGCTTCAGCAGCCCATGCCACCTTGACACCAGCAGACTAGATAAAAACCACAAATGAATCCATCAAAAGATAATTTTAGGATATTTATTTTCAAATAATGAAGGTAAGTTTGGGGCACACTGCCATGAGTGGCATATTGTGTATAAATCTTCAAAACTGAATTATTACACTGAAAATGTTCCTAACGCATCACGTTTAAAACAAACAGTAGTCCTAGCAAAGCCATGTGATGTGCCTCCCCTCATATTCTGCTCAGTTCGCTCTTCAAGAAATTAGGTTCAATCCCTAATTTCAGGGTATTAGACCAATCAGTCACTGTTTTTACAGAGCATTCCAGAAGGTGGTGGACAGAACCCAGAGGAATTGTGATGAATTTCCGGAGCAACTTTCTCTAAACCTCACATGACAACAAAAATATCACCTTTTCGACTGACTTATGGCCGAGAAGAAAGGTTTCCCAAGAAAGCTTCACCAAATTTCATGTTATGTGTCATTAAGTGGCAGCGTTTTTAATACGATTATGTTAATTTGTGATGATTCAGTAAAGGGATACAACCCCTTCTCTATTTCTTTATCAAACTACATTTTTGTGTCCTTATAACTAAGAACATGAAGAGCCCGGCAGTACTTTCAAATCAACAGTGGACACTGACAGTACATAACCTGCAAATAATATTTCTAAAGTAAAATAAACTTAAAAATGGAGATTGTAGAAGAGATTTCTATCTATAGGAAGAGAGCATTTGCGGTCAGGGACCGTGTTTTGTTAATTGATGTGAGAAAAAGAAAGGAAGGGTCATATCTTGATTACCGATTATATGTAGCTAGAAAGTTAAAAATCACATCAATTAATGCTGACGGAAGTTCAAAGAACATTATATAATCTTGCGTGAGTTAACTTAAATATATTGCTTAATGAATTCTATTATTTTTTCATCTATTAATTTTCAAAGATGTAGTGCATGAGGTGGGTGTATGTGCCCTGCCTTCCAGAGGGAACCAGTCAAGAAAATAACGAGAGGGAGAGAGAACAGAGAGCAGCTGCACATGTGTGTAGTTGTGATGTTTATGACACATGTACATTGTAACTGAACAACCCAGTCTGACAATTTAATAGTTTATTTTGTTAAGATAAATATTTTGTATTTCTTGAAATTCCACAGTTGAAATACAAATGATGTTATTTAGAGAAGTTAAACTTCAATATAGATTTGAGGGAGGAATCAAAAAATAAATGTAAATAATTCCATTTCTAAAAATATGTTTAGATGCTTGTTTCTGAAATACCGTTGAAATGTGAATTCAAATATTCTTGTATTTACACCTTGTTACAATAATATTTTCTAAATTAGAATAATCTTTTTTTTCCGTATTTTACATTGAGATTTCACAGGGGTAGAAAATTCTGACAGGAGTGAATGACCCCCATCCACCACCATCTGCTACCCCTGGGCAGGGGATGGGGAAGGTGAGGGCTGGGAGGTTGCCAGGTGTCCGGTTTTCGACTGGAAGCTCCAATTGAAAGGGGAAAGTGGCAGTGTCCGGTCAGCACAAAAAGTCCAATTGCTGCAGTAACTGGCCTCCCCTACAGGGGGCGGGAAGAGCAGCAGTGCTGGGAGGGGACAGTCTGTGCCGCGGGTGTCACTGTCAGGGACAGAGATTCCCTCCAGACTCAGCTGGGACCGGGCAGATTATCAGAGGAGCCACCCTTTTACCCCCAGCACTGACCCAGGGACAGAAATAAGGGTGGAGCGTCCCGGAGAAGGTGTCAGTGAAAGTGAAGAGATGGGACCTGTCAGTCACATTGTAAAATGAGACCTCGCCCGCCTCATAGTCCAGGAATATCCCCACCCGGCTGGGCCTGACGCTCACGGGGAGGAGGGTCAGGGGGGAGGTGAAGGCTTTGTATTCCTCATCCTCCAGCCGCAAGACCCAGTATCCATTCCCGGGTGTGAATGTGACCCAGCTCTTCCTGCTCAGAGATTCCCTACAAACCCCCAGGTCCCACTCAGTCTTGTCTCCCACCTCCACCTCCCAGTAACGCCTCCCGCCCGCGAACCCCTCAGTGCCCAGGACAATGGGATATGTATCAAATCTCTCAGGATTGTTGGGCAGATTCTGTTGTGTGTCTCCGTGTCTCACACGTTTCCGATCCTCAGAGAGGATAAGCCAGGGATTTGCCGTGTCTGGATCCAGAGTCACGTCCACTGGGGAGAGAGTCACAGAGTCAGTGCTGGGGGCAGGGGCTGGTCACTGGGATCAAAGGGAAATTAACCTGTGTCCCCATCAATTGCAGGGGTGGGGGGTTGTTGCCTGGGGGGAGTCAGGGCCCATCTGCCTGTGAGGCACAAGGGCAATGTGGGGGCAAGAGGAATGGGCACCAGGAGGACGAAGGGGTATGAAGGGAACGGCAGGTTACCGGGGGCTTCAGGGGCTGAGGGGAGGGGTGGGCACCAGGGCAGAAGAAGGGAGATGAACCCCAGAGGACAGAAGGAAGTGTGGGAATGGGGGAGCTCCAATGGGGGGGGGGAAGCAATGGGAGGAATTGTTGCCAGGGGGTGGGGTGGGGATGAGGAGTGGGGCAGGTGCCAGGACCATGGGGGGGAGGGAATGGGCAGGCACCAGGGGGACGGAGTGACGCAGGAGCCTGGGGGCAGAGGGGATGGCTAGGGCAGGGGCAGTCACCAGTGGGTGGAGGAGAGCAAGAGAAGGGGCAGGTGCCAGGAGTATGTGGAGGGGCAGTGAGCAAAGGAGCATGTGCCAGGGGGCAGAATGGGGTGATATGAGGGGCGGGCACTTGGGGGAGCTAAGGGGGAATGGGAGGGGCATTCATCGGGGCTGTATAGGATGCGTGAGAGGCAGGACTGGTGTCAAAGGAAAGAGAGATGAAGGGAGGGGTGGGCACCAGGGGTCCAAAGGGTGGGCTGGAGAAGGGATGGGTGGCACTGGGGGATGGGGGGAAGGGAAGGGGCTCGCACCACGGGACACAAGGGGTGAACAGAGGGGCAGGAGCTAGGGAGGAAGAGGGGGAGTAGAAGGAGGGGCTGGAACCAAGGGAAAAGGAGGGGGTGGGAGAAGGTGCAGGTAACAAGGGGACAGAGAGGCATCAGGGGTAGGACAAGTGTCCGAGGGACATGGGGGGCAAGGGTTGGGGCAGACCCCAGGGGACAACAGTGGAGTGAGGAAAAGGGCAGTCATAAAGGGGGAAAGTGGCATGAGGGGTGGGTGCCAGGAAGACAGAGGTGGGAGGAGGGAAGGGGTAATCACCAGGCGCGATGGGGGGGGGGATGAGGAGAGGGGCAGATGCAAGGAGGGGAGAGAGGAGAGGGGCAGGCACCAGGGGGCAGGGTGGGGGCAAGGAAGCAGTTGAGCACAAGGGGGGCAGAGGGAGAGTGAGGGGAGAGGTGGCACACAGAGGATAGGAGAGATTGAGGGGAGAGGCAGACACCAAGGGGCCCAAAGGGGGGCAAGGGAAGGGGTTTGCACCAGGCAAGCAGAGGGGGCAAAGGAAAGAGCGGGCACCATGGAGGTAGATGGGGGCAATGGTAGAGATTGGTCTCAGGAGGGCAGAGTAGGAATGGCCAAAGAGTTGTTCTGAACTATGACATGCTGAAGACTATGGGGGATTTAGAAAATTGGGGAATCAAACTCCTGCTCTCTTAATACTTCAGTAACGAGAATGAAATTATGGCCAAGGGCCTTGCAGATTTCCTTGTGGCAGCAGCGCAGGAAGTACCCCCCACCTCACCCCGGCTGCAGAACAGAACCAAGTGTCAGCCATGGTCAAGCCTATCTTTGAATACAGATTGGTTCTGGGGGTGGAGGGAAATGTATCAAGAGGGCTGGCCCTTTTAGGGGAGTCATGGACCAGACTACCCATGACAGGCTCCTGTAAGAGAGAATGAGACAACCCAGACCAAACTGGAAGTAATTAAATCCCTAGGTGGCTAGTTGGCAGCGAAACAGCTAATGAGCCTGATAAAGGGTTACCAGGGCTCAGCTGAAGGGATCCTAGGGAAAGGAAGCTGGTGAGGAGAGGAGCTCCCAGGAGAGCTCACCAGAGCAAGGAGCCTGGAAGGGGTGTTCCTAGAGCAGTGGTCCCAAACTGTGGGTCGTGCCCCCCTAGAGGGTGTGGAGGAAGATTTGGGGGGCATGGCAGGGCCTGGACCAGCCCCCATGGGTGGCGGGAAGGGAACGTCACCCAGCCCTGCTCTGCCCCCAGCTCCACTCCGGCCCCACCCTAAGCCCCAGCTGCAGCTCCAGCCCCAACCATGGTTCCACACCCAGCCGAAGCCCCTGGCTCCCAGCCCCAATTGTGGGTCCACTCCCAGCCATGGTCCCTGGCTCGTGGCCCAGCTCCCGACCACAGCTCCTGGGATGGGGGCGCAAACCAGGTAAGGGAGGACATGACCAAAACAGTTTGGGGACCACTGTCCTAGACAGAGAAGCTCCCCTAAGGGGGAGGAGGTGCCAGAGATGACAATGACAGCAGCAGCTGTAGGACAGAACCCTGGAGAGCTGCCCCCGGCTGGAGAAAGAGGATGCAGAGAATAAAGGCACAGTCTGAAATGACCCCAGCACCAGGAAGGGGGGCTGGAGTCATCTGATTCTACAATGGAAACTAATCCAAGCTCAGCTCCGGGAAGGACTGAGGACTCCTGACTTGAGGAGCTTGAGTGAGAGCTGGAGGCTGGAGCAGAGTGAGGGAAAAGATTTTATTTTGGGGTTTACTTGGACTCAGAGCAGACCCCAGCAGGAGACTTTTCTCTCAGATCTTTTAGACTGTGAGGCATAATTTAAGGAGTGCAGAAGATGGTAAACTGAGGCAAGTTGCTTGCCAAGACACCCTGAAATGGCTGAGGGTGGTACCTGAGGACGCTGCCCCATGTTGAGTCCACAAAACTGGAACCCATTTAACAGAATTGCTGCCCCTTCCCCATGCAAACAGAGCCGCTCTCTTCAGTCTGTCTGCGTGGGCCCCTCACCGCATCTGACCCCAACAGAGCCTGCATCACAGAGTGGGAACCTGGACCGAACACAGCACAGGGTTTTGGGCACCCACCTGGCTTCCAGTGTCCCTGTCCCAGCTCCCAGGCTGCTCCCGCTCCCCCACAGCCTCCAGCTCCCCTGGACCTCAGGCTGCCTCTGCCGTGTCCTGTTCCCTTGGGGGTGACCCAGGGCCCAGCATGGACCCATCAGGGTCACTACAATACTGTCTACCACACCCAGAAGACAGGCACAGGATGGGCTCAGGGAGTGGCTGGCC